ATATATATATACATATATATATATATATATATATATATATATATATATAATATATATATTAATATATATATATATATATATATATATGGACACACACATATATATATAGGAGCTATGGTGGGATATACGAGTACTGTCTATAAGGAGTATAGCGAGGTATCTAGGCTTATACCTGCAAAGTGGTATGACCTAGCCACGATAAGTCAGTGTAAAAAAAAACAAGATTAATCCAGTGTCTGAAGAAAAACTAAGGTATATCAGGGATGTAACAGTTTATCCTGGAATAGAACTGTATCAAGCGTAACCATGCTTGAAGGCATCTCGCATTCATATCGTAACTCTCATACACTACGATAGCTGCAGGTTGAAGTAAGAGATATACGTCCATACGCATAGCACACATGAACTACGATAGCTGCAGGTTGAAGTAAGGGATATACGTACATACACATAGCACACATGTACTACGATAGCTGCAGGTTGAAGTAAGAGATATACGTACATACACATAGCACACATGTACTACGATAGCTACAGGTTGAAGTAAGAGATATACGTACATACACATAGCACACATACACTACGATAGCTGCAGGTTGAAGTAAGAGATATACGTACATGCACATAGCACACATACACTACGATAGCTGCAGGTTGAAGTAAGAGATATACGTACATACACATAGCACACATACACTACGATAGCTGCAGGTTGAAGTAAGAGATATACGTACATACGCATAGCAAGTGGGCCTGAGTTCCTGTGCGTAATAAGTCGATACACTTAGACACACCTCCAAATGTCCCGCCAATGTGGAGTGCGGGTGCACCAGTCCTACATGGAATAGGGCCGAGTGCGTGTACGCGCACCTCTCACACTGCGATGCATATAAGTTCGTCCGTAACTGCCGATCCGTTATAACGGGCTGTGCTGTGTCGTCTGCCTGATCCGTCGCAGAGTTCGCCTGTGCGTTTAACGTGGGTTGGTTAGTTGCTGTGTTCTATTGGGTTGTGTGGAGCAAGACTACTAAAGATATACGTATATGAACCTGTCAGATATATATACTACGGCTAAGGTATACGTATATAAACCTGTCAGATACATATATGAACCTGTCAGATATATATACTACGGCTAAAGGTTTACGTACATAAGCCTGTCAGATATATATACTACGGCTAAAGGTATACGTATATAAACCTGTCAGATATATATACTACGGCTAAAGGGTATACGTACGGTTGTCCAGGTGGAAGCGAATGTCACTGCAACGCATTCAAATCCGTTGTACCTGCGACTAACGAGCACATACACAATAATGACGTGATTGTAAGTACATCCATTTCAACAAGGGTGTTTATAAGCATGCTCTAGTATATATGAATACATACCAAGGACAGGACGAACCCTACCACCAACGCAATATATAGATAGGCCGACAGTACAGTATATAGAAACACATAGCGCACGCATAAGCTACACACGGTGTATCTACCCACAACAGGCGTATACACAACAACAAGGCAATCCATCGCAAGTGACACAAGGTGTACCTGCCCATAACAGGCGTATACACAACAACAAGGCAATCCATCGCAAGTGACACACGGTGTATCTGCCCATAACATGCGTATACACAACAACAAGGCAATCCATCGCAAATGTGTCGAGAGACCACTGACACACCTCGTCTGCAGTGGACTCAGATGGTGTGCTGTTAGTCGCTGGTGCGAGGGAGCCTACGAGTTAAAACGTGAGGATAGCGTTATGCTACGAGTTAAAACGTGTGGATATCGTTATGCTACGAGTTAAAACGTGAGGATAGCGTTCTGCTACGAGTTAAAACGTGTGGATAGCGTTATGTGGGTGTGAGGCGTACCGTTATGTGCGTGATATGCGTGTGGACGTAAACGGGGTCATTGCCAGTAGTGGTTGCGGGTACTGTGTGCTTGCATGTGTGTGTCATGGTAGATATATATATATACCACGCACTATGCATGTTCATGACCAGAATACGCCTGTGTGCATATACATAAGTGTCCATGTGCGTATACATGTTAGCACAGGCACATCCATATACATGTTAACACAGGCATATCCACTGTGCACGCTCCCACTCAGGAAGCTAAGTAAATGTTCCGAACTGTCGATACCAAACATCCGTATAGTGCTATGTATCAGTCAAACCGAAGTACTTAATCCTAAGGGCTTAGGGGGTTCAATTTCTAAAACCCTAAAACCTTAGTACAAACCCTAGGTATAGGTACTACTGCACACGCACAACACCCCATCATAAATTTGGTGCAAAAACTATAGGTGGCCCCATCAGTGAAGCGTAGGTATACCTACTTCCAAAAACCGGGTTTTCTATTTATAATTCAGTATGAACACCCGCCTGGCACCCAGTGGGCATGTATGTGCGGCGCCTGCAACGCTCAACATTAGCACCGCCCACACAAAACCGAACCCGAATTCCCAACCCCAATCCCAAATGCGATCGACCCAATTCCAGCATTTTCTAAATCTCGCTTGCAGTCAAACCCCCAAAGGTCCCAACCAAACCCAAAACAACTTACCCCCGTGAGGTTTGACTGGGCCGTTGTCTGGCACGCGCAGCGTCACATCAAAACGTTGACCACACCGAGCACAGGACATGGAAGCAACAAAGACGTGCAGACGGGTGGTGGCTATTTGGTCTAATTGGAGACCCATGAGATTCAACGCAACACCTGGAGACGGGACAAGAAGGATGGGTGTGTGGGGGAGGGTAGAGATGTTTGAGATTGTACAAGCGAGTAAGTTGTGTGGATGAAGGATGTGTGTGGGGAGGGAGGGTAGAGATGTTTGAGTCGGGAGCAGCGAGTGAGTGGTGTGGATGAAGGATGGGTGTGT